ATTCTTCCTTGGGCTTCTAGCAACTCACGCTGCACAGTCCCACTATCAGTTTGAACATGACCCAGACTGAATCCCTCTCACAGTCCATTCGTGATCTGAATAAAACAAAAAGTATGTAAAAAATATGAGATTATTTAACCAGATAGTGCTCACAATCAAAGATTGCCCTCATAGCTTTATTGTCCTAATTCTGTCATATCCTAATCTTGATTTTGTGATTGTATTCTGCCTTTTTTAATATAGAGCATCCAACTTTCATTGCATTCTTTTTTCATATTCTTTTCTATCTTTTCTAGACACTTCTACTGAAATACAAATTGGTTAAAGTAATGTCATAGTTCTTTCTTTCTGCACAGTGGTAGAATAGAACAGGCCTTATTGGATTGCCCTTTTTTATAAAGTGAGCAGATGGAAGAAGGGTAAGAGGACTTTAAAATTGAAATAATTCAGGATATAACAAATATGAAAGATACCAGTCTCACACGGTATTAGTGGGATCCAGTAAGCAAGGTTAAAAAATGCATAGCAAAGTGTGTGATTCAGAAAGATTAAAACACCTCTTCCACAGCTACTGACGGTTGCCATTCATTGTAAATGACAACAGAGTCTTCTTTGATTTAATTTGATTGATGCATTTTCAGCAAGCTATAAAAAATCCATTTTCATGACAAATGCCTTCCCACCCACAGACCAACAGTGTCAGATGTGCCTAAAAGTTGTTCCTAAGTTTCCTTTGGACTTATCTTCAACTAGAACTGTAGTGGTCAATTCAGATGTTATGAAACTAAAACAACCGAAAACTGGAATCTTGGACAATGATGTGCTCCCACAGAGCAGTGACAATGCTGCTGCTTTTTTTTTTTTTTTTTTTTTTTTTTTTTAAGGAACAAGGTTTTATGTCCAGATGACTGCTGCATTTTTATTTTCTGGGTTTAAGAGCCTTGGGCAGCAAAGACCCTTCCACCAGAGAGCCCAGGGCTTTGTTTTGGAGTGATGGAGCCTTGGCATTATTTACTGGACTGAGCAATTCAAAAGACCCTCAGGTGGCCATGGAGTAAACAAACAAAACTAAATCCCATGTATTCAACATTAAATAAGGAAAATTAAATCAGTTATGAAACTTCTGTAGTTTCCAAAACTTACAGTCAAATCCTGGTGAAATGTGCAGCAAAGCACATTTATAGATGTATTTTCTTTTATGAAGCCAGTTAAATTATCAATGTTTCTCTGCCTAGTCACTGATATTTCATTGGAGAAACCTGTAGTGTCATTGAATTGTCGATTTAGATACTCTGCTAATTACTGAACCTTTAAGACAATATACTGTCTGTCCCCAGGCTTTACAAAAGTCAAATTTCATACAGTTCCTACAGTTCCTATAATCATTAACTCTCAAAGTCACCTCTGGTAGAAAGCATTAGGGGAAACAAGATGTCATCCTGTGATTTGGAAGGTAGAAAAAATACTCTGTGGTAACACAGATAAAAACAAACTTTTTTTTTTACTTTTTTTTTTTTTTTTTTTGTTGGGGGTGTAGTCATCTAGAAATAATTTGTAGATTTTCTGTGGAAAATTGCAAATTTAGTAATTATTGTGGTTAATTTGCCACTGAGAGGTAATAATTGTTATCAGAGTCCAAACTAGATATGTATAACAGCTGAAGTGCTGTATTTCAGGCTGAGGTTGTATATTCCTTGACTTTGACACAGTAATGGTTTATTTTCTTTCACCGTGAATGCTGGCAGGCCGCTCTGAGTTATCCAGAGGGATGAGTTTTCCCAAGCTTGTGATCATTTTGGGGCTTTCAGCTTATGTTATTGCATCTTGTTTACGAAGGGCTGGTTTTTGTTTGGAAGTATCAATAATCATGATTTTGAGATTATGCATTTGGGTGAGGAGTGGGTTGTTAATACCTTTGTAAACCTCTCAATTGAAAGCTTTCCTGGTCTCCCTGTAGCTTCTCTGCCACAGAATTTGGTACATACTTGACTTAAGGGATAGATGTATTTGAGTTAACTTCAGAAATAGTAAAATTATCTACTTTAATCCATTTATTTTTTCCCTCCACTTTTTCCATGAGTATGTATGTGCTGCCTTTTAAAAGACTTATCACATCAGAAACATAATTGCTTTAAATACAACAGAGACTACCATTTCATAATAAAACATTTGTGTTTTGTTTTAATTAGAAATAAATCTTCTCCCTGAGTTTTATTTTGAAGTAGTGAAGTTCTTGAATTTTATATAAAATATTGCTCTTGAAAGAGAAATCCGTGTTTATTTTGATCCAAAGTAATTTGTTGTTTGGCAGACAGAAAGGAAGAAGGAATGATTTCAAAACTGACAGAAGTGAATTTCAGAAGTAATGAGGATTTTAAAGAGCACTCATTTTGCTTTGAATGAAACTGTAATCTGGAATTGTCAGCCCTTTAGTCAAAAATGTCACATATGAAATAAAGCCAGAATTTATTATTTATCAAGGCAGGATTTGGGCATGAGAAGATAAGGAGGGAGCAGGCAAGCACCCTTCTCCCAGTTTTGCCTTACGTCCTCTCTTCCTTCCAGCAAAGCTGAGAGGAGTCAGTGCCTACAGCCTGTGTCTGCAGTGCTGCCTTCTCCCCTGCACCAAACCTGCTGCCTTTCCAATCAGTGGAAAATTGCTACTCACTATAATCACAATTGCATCAGACTAGCAGCCTACTTCCAAGGGGAAAATCCCTGCTGTTCCCACCCCTTTTATCTCTAACACCAGAAATCCTTTTTTTCCCCCAGTCAGTGACAGCAGGGCAGGATACCTCCCTAATGTCTATTCAGCAAAGTCAGAACAGCACACTAGGAGGAGAACTGCTGAAATTGCTGGGTCAAAATTAAGCTCTTGAAATTGCATTTGAAAAATTGGCTCTTGGGTTCTGAGAGGCAATCAAGTGTTATCTTTTTCAGTGTCATCTTAACTCTTTTTCATTCAGCTGCTACTGAAACTGCTTTTATATCAAGAAAGGCCTTCAGAATCAGAAGAAAAACTGATCCTGTATATGTTACCTATGAGTTGATACTTTTTTATAACTCAATTAATATGAACTGACACTGAATCCATTAAATGCATACTTCGAGGTACTTTTTAAAAACACCTAATTTAAAATCTTTTTGTATGGTATTACAAGAAAAGGAAGTACTCTCTATTTCCTCTAGCAGTGTAAAGAAAATAGTCTTGAATATATCAAAGTGAGAAAAAGCCACATGGAACCTCAAAATTATATTTATAGTGCTGGTTTCCATTGTACTGCTGGAGGAGTCAAGAGGAAAAGGAGCCTGTAAAATCTGCACATGTCTGAGTTGCTCTTTAATTTTTAATGTTTGCACATGGGGAAGACAGAAACTGCAACACATGCTTGGCATGTGCAACTGTGGTAGCTAGCAGCAAAAGAAATAAATCTCTGTTTAAATATGTGTGATGAAGTCTGAGGATGATTTTAAAATAATATCTCAGTATCCATGCCCAAGAGATCTGGGATAAGATTTACTGTAATGACTTGTTTCTGCTTTATACGCCAAGAAAAAAAAGGCTTGTGAGCTTGTGCTGTGGTTAAGAACAGCAGGGACACCAGCTCCCAGTAACTGGGGAAGCTCTGAGTATCCCAACATTCCCTGTCCAAGGCTGCCTGCTCTCCAGATTGTTTCCCAGGCCAATCAGGAGAGCCTCAGGCTTGTGCAGGTTTGTGCTGGATGGTGTCAGCACCTCCTTTCTTCATCTCTTCCTTCATCCCTTCCTCATCCTCCAGCCTCTGCTGCCAGCAGGGACCAGCTGATGTGGCCCTGCTTTCAGAGGACTGGGGGCACTGTAGGCAAATCAGACAATCCATAAATATTTAGGGATGTCATCCTTGTCTCATCAAGGAGTTGTGGGGTGTGGGAACTCAAAATGTCCCTCAGACGTTTTTGGAGGTTCCAGGTTCAGGTCAGAAGCATTTGAGACCCTGGCAGGCAGCTGGAAACAGCTGTGATTTTGGATTTGAGCCATGGACTGATTTACCAACCATGCAGGAAGAACAAGAAGTCACAAAAGTTTAGATATTATAGTAGAAGTAGTTACAAAGTAGAGGGAAGAATTTTTTAGTGCTGTACAGGGAGGTTTCTGTTTTGTACATGGGGGTCAGAAGTTTTAAGATGGAGAGATTTGGGCCGGTCCTGTCCTTCCTCTTTCTTCTTCCTTGCCTCCATGTTCTTGGTGATGTTGGCACTCACAGATTGGTTTAGTGTAAAAAGGCACCATTTAATGTAGGTAATAGGCATTGGGGAAAAACTATAAACATGTAACACGTAATATACCATATAAAAGATAGCAGCAGCCCTGGGCAGGGAGAGAAGAAGCAGTCGGGAGTCAGAGAGGATGTCAGGGTGTGTGTGTGCCTCTGCCTGAGCTGCTGGGCAAACCACAGCAGCCCGAGAAGAAAATCTTTTAGATAACTTGCAATAAACTGCCTTGACACCGAACAACAGAGACTGCTGAGCCTTTCTTTGGAAGCACGGCTTGGAGGAGAAGCTTTTCCACCACACGGAGCCACCCCACAACCTAGGGTGGTCTTCGACAGTGGGGGTAAATATTTTGGGTATTGCAAGTTGTCCATTACCTCAGTAAGGAAGCCATATAAACAGCTCTGGCAGATACAGAAGTTATACTCACTCTTTTTGGTTAATACATGTAGATAAACCATAGATAATATTTAGTGATAGTAGTGAAGTTGTTCAGAGACAATTTCAAGCAGCACTTAGGACTGACTAAAATTGGGGAGTTATCTTTCTTAACAATTCCACATTATATTCCAAGAACAGATTCTTTGGGTTTTTTTAAGTCCATATACCAAAATGAAAAATGTCAAAAATGGTATCATCAAAGCATCTATATCAGAAAGGAAAGAAGCAGCATTATTTCTGCTTGGAACAGATTTTATTTATGACCAAAATTTTCTTCTATTAATGAAACTTATCTTCTTACTTTGCAGCTTGCAGGCCTGGATTCTATAAAGCATTTGCTGGAAATGTGAAGTGCTCCAAGTGCCCTCCACACAGTTTGACTCACATAGAAGCAACTTCTGTCTGTCAGTGTGAGAAAGGTTATTTCAGAGCTGAGAAGGACCCACCAACTATGGCATGTACCCGTAAGTCTGATCATTACCAGTGTTGGCAATTCTGTTGCCTTCTTTATTTGGTTTTGTATTAAAAAAACCCAAAAATTTAAGAGTTTGTGAAGAATTCAATTCCTGTTAATCAAGAGATTTTTTTAAATCAAAAGTCAAACAGCACACTTCTGCTTAGTGTCTGGATAACCATAAACATACCCAAGTTTCTTAGTTTGATGACTTTTGAACTTGTAATTCTGAGATGTAACAGGAGGAGGAAGTGTAATCATTGTCATATAGATAACAATGTGGTGTTTTCACTACCAGTAATGTGCATTTTACATACTTTAAAATTAGCTGGTGCAAAAATTTTCAAAAAGCTGCAGTCATGTAAAGGAAAAAAGCTGATATAACATGCTCTTATGTCCCTTAAGATTTAAATGAAAAGTATCACACAAATATTCTTACACAATCAAATAAAAACTTAATGCTCTAAAAAAGACAAGAAAATAATTTTTAGAAAGGAAAAAAAAAAAAATAAAATCAGAATGAGCCATCATTTAAACCTCTTGCACCATCACCTTCTTTTAACAGAGAGTTATTCTCTCTTATGCAACTGTGATAATGAAAATTCATTAGATTTTTTGAGATGAATTTTAGAATACATAATTTTGTGATTTTTGACTAACGTAAATTTGCCCTTAAGATAAACCTGATGTCCATCATTCCAGGGGCAGAAATTCTTAGAAAAGATTTTTATGACTTTGATCAATGGACATAAGTAATACATAGCTTAAGTTTTCTTACCACTTAATAAAATGTTTTGTATAGATTTCCATTCATGGTTCATTACCCACTGGGATTAATTTATTGATTGTAAAGCAACTATATCTGTTTAATCTCAAAACTGGAACAAACAGCAGTATTTGAAAAGCTGTGTGTAAAATACTATATTTTAATAGGCTATTAAAATCACTTCTTTAATAAAGGTGATTAAAGACTTTGCAGAACCCTCTAACACACCCAGTTTTAGGTATAACACTTTATTAATTCTTTTGGTGGAGGATTTGATCTTAGTGCTTTTTGTGCAACAGTTAAAAGAATTCTAAAAAACCAGCATGTTAAATTCTTAAAGTATTTTGACAGATTAATTATACAAAATTTTTAAGAGGTAAAGCCCTAAAGACAAAGTACTGTTGCAACAACCATCAGTGCATAGCCGTGTTTTGGGATATTTTATGCAGCATCACGAAAAAATAACTGAGCTAACTGAATTGAGCTACTTCTTCTGCTCATGCTGCTTTTTCCAATGACACTGGACTGGGCAAATTTGGAATAGATCTGATAATTTAAAGCTGATTTACAAATTCATAGGCACTGAGGTCATTACCAAAACCAAGACATTGTCCATCCACTTCATGAGGGTGATGGTCACTAAAAATGGCATTCCTCAGGCCCAAGGCAAAATCTGTGTAATCTAACAAGAGGGTTTTCAGGGGGAAGGTAAGTCCCAGCCTCTGGATACCTCAGGGGCTCAGGGTTCAGAGAGTGTCTCCCAGTCCCAGCTCACTCTGGAGCAGAACACATAGGCCTGGCATTTTGCACAAAGTATGTGAGGGAATAAACAGCATCCTTTCAGGCTTCCCACAGGAAAATGGCGATTACAAATAATTCCACTCAAATCAATGCCACAGGCACAGGTCATTAAAATCTTACTCCCAGAGTAAAAACATCCCAGGTGTTCTTGATACTTTCATGCTTGAGAAGTGGGTTTCACTCATATATTATGCAGATGTGGCTCCATATTATTTATAAGTCATTGATTTTTTCATCGCCAAAAGAGAGTTCTTTGAAAAATTACTCAAACATGGCATTATGATTCCATAATTATCTTTCAGGGCACAATTTTAAGCCCTGATTCCCTGATATGTTAATAAGGTAGGGAGGAGCACGAGAGCCATGTGGCACCAGAGTGCAGTTACTTCAACCCCTGCTGATTTCTTAACAAATGTGAGTGCAGAGATCTGCTTTGGGTGAAAATTGTCAGGAAAAACTAGGTGCCAGACCTCCACATTCCTGCTGAGGGTGTCAGCCAAAGTGAGTGAGATGAGGCAGGGCAAAAATCAACCACAACAGGATGTCAGTGCCTCATCTCACCTCAGCTTGGGAGAAGGAAGAAATAAAGGAGACAGTGAAGCACATTCTGATTTCTTGGTTCAGTGCCACCATGCACTGTCTCCCATTCAGCCTAGGCTGCAAGGTATCAGTACTTCATTGATTGGCACAGCAGATGTATTCATCTTACACCTACAATGATGATTATTTCACTAATTGTCAGCTCTGCTAATGACACTGAAGCTTGACAGGCAGACTGTGTTCTTACCTTGTATATCAGCAGTAATAGAGAGTCTTCAGGCCAAGTTATTCCCTAAGTGATATCTTTAGCCCCACTGCTTTCAAATTAGTCTCTCAGTTATTAAAATTATGTTTCTGTCATAAATACAACCTCACTGCTTTTGGTGGATATGTGCACATGTGGCTAGTTTGAAATTAATAAACAAAGATATGAGTGGAATTTCGATTTTTCCTTCCAAACTGTCATGTTTTACTATAATAAAAGGAGTTGAAAAGTTTTAAGAAAATGAAGAACTTTGACTAAATAGACAGAAAATGCTGTGCAGAAATGAAATGCTATTTTTACATAACCATCTTTGGGAAAGATCTGCATTTTCCATATTCATTTTCAGATTTCTATCTTGTCATATGAGACATGACATAAGAAAGACATTTTTCTTGGGACCTTTGAAGGGAGAGATATTCTTTATTGAAACACAGAATGAACAGTAGATTCCCCTTACAAATGTCTTCATGTTCAACTATTTTGACTGACTTCATTTATGCCCATTTTATTTGCTCCCCCATGTCCTGCAAGGTAATATGCTTAAGAAAGGTATTTTTTCTCTTTTCTTTCCTGTACAGGGCTAGGCAGTATGGGGTTAGGCAGTATTCCTCACTCCAGAGCTCTTCCCTCAGTACTGAGAAACTTGCATATGGAAAGCATTATGGAAAAAAAACCCACCTTGATTTAAGACAGGCATCCACTTCTTTTAGATGAGCTTCAAATCCACTTTGATTAATTCTATGAAAGTACTGTGTGCTTTTACAAAATTGTACAGCTCCCATTTTTTTTATGTAGCTGCATTTCAAAGAGGAGAGTATTCACTTTGCAGAACACCATAACAGAAATCTAATTTCAATAAGAGGAATGAAAATTACGTTAGAATATATTGTTAATCTCCTTCTCCTAGGCTCTTTTCATTTGACTTACACTTCTTATCAATCTCTCTTCATTCTTATTTTATTCTTTGCCATGTGCAAGTACTCTATCAGAAATCTCTGCATACACAGTGAGCAACAAATAGCATCATATCTAATCCCCTGTCTGATTACTCTGTACATAAAGTCTAACATTTCCCACTGTATAGTAATTGGATGATATGATCCATCTTTTCAAGGTCAGGCAGGCTTATATTGGTTGTCTCAGATGTCTGAATTCCTCTCTTTTAATGTTACACTTAAACAATTTGAACCTGACAAACATATGCTCTGTTCAATAACCTCTACCACAAAATGTATCCTCTGTTTTTAAGTCAACACTGAATTTCAGCAGCAAAACCAAGCAACAGACTTGAAGTCTTTACTGCCTCTATTGTATATATATACACACACACTTTTTAACAATTTAAGATTATGCTCAGACTTGGGATATTGGTTTGCAGTCCCTGGCTTCCATTCTTCCTGCCTGCCTTACAGGAAAAAAGTGAAAAGGGAAAAATGTCATTCTGCATCAAGTGACATTATTTATCTATGCTACATACCGAAATGCAATTAGGAACTTGAGGGGCACAGCCAGATGCTGATTCCGAGTATCCTAAGGTGTTGGTTAGCCTTTGTCCTTCTGCTGTAACTTCAGTAGTCAAATGACATAAAATTCTAAGATTCCAATAGCTTATAATGGACTTAAAAAGTAACAATCTGTTTTCCAGACAGTCTTCACTCTCAAGTGTGTAAAATACTGCATTGCCCTCACCAGACTTCTGCAGTGCTGGGTTTGCTCCTCTTCCCTCCATACACAGGAAAATGCACTTTGCCTTCCGAGAGGAAGAGAACACACTAAAAGGAGATGAGGTGCAAGCACTGCATGAGGCACAAACTCAGCTCAGAGTAGACCTGTTTCACCATAAGACATCCACGCCAGTCTCCTCCACAGAAAGTGTCAAAATACTTCCTCATTGTAATTTGTAAATGAAGCAAAAGACATTACTCATGCTCTGGCTGAGTTCCATCTCAGCAGAAGAGCTGCATGTTTTTATAATGCTCATCCATCTGAACTGTATTTTATTATTTCGCATAAAACTCAAAGTCATGAATTTTGCTGTGAGGAAAGGATCCCTTATTTTCACCAATATACTTGTTTTTCTTAAAAATCAATATAAGGAAAACCCCAAGAGCTTTGCATACAGATGTCTGCAGAAGGGTATTGCTGCCAGCTTTTTCCAATGTGCCAAATAATCTTTGTATAATTTATAAATGATAACAAAGCAATCAGGCCACATTCATAAAAGCCCAGTGACACATAATTTAGCTGAATCTGAGGATTACAATTAATTGTCTTTCTTTGTTCCAAGTTCTAAATCTTAGTAAATGATTCACTGTGTGTCATTACAGCTTAATATTTGCATGAAATCACAATTTAACTGGCATAATTTAACAGCAATTAAAAAGCTATTTAATCCTCATGCAAATTGGCATGAGGGGCCTTGAGTATGAAGTGAATTTGTGGGTTTTTCCTGCATTTGCAAGAGGACGGTCATATACTGTAATGCACCTCTAACATAATTGATAGTTTTCCTTTTTCACAAGAATATGTGATTTTTCTTACAACTGAGAAATGAGTCACAAACCATGACTATAAGAACTTTCACTCTAGTACAAAAGAAAAAAATATATATTTTAAAAGAGTATTTTATGTACTGTATTGGTTCTTCTGTAGATGCCATTCCATATAGTACAAGGAAAATCTGATAGAAAATCAAAATCCACAAAGCCAGACAAAACCCTCCTATTGCCCAGGTTCATATTCATTCCTGTTTGGGCCTGACAAAATTGATGAAATAATATCAAAAATACTAGAGCTGTGATGACCTGTTGTCATATTATCTATAGTTTATGCAAGACTAAATTCAAGCCAGTTTTAGAACACTGACTCCAATCCTTCAAGCAATTACACAGCTGCTTCGTTTTACGTGCATTAATATTACCAATTATTTCAAGGGGATTACTCATCTACTTAAAGTTATTCACATATGGAAGTGCGATTACAGCTCATCCTCCATATTCCTAAAACTTCTCCATGGTTTTAACAGCGGGAATTTGTTAAGATCCAGTCATTATTTAATTCTCACAGCGTGGTTTTAGAGGAAACATAATTATTCCTGTCTTCTGAATATAAAGAATAAAAACTGAAGCTGAAGTAATGTGTGCTGATTTTAGCTTATTCCAATCTCAGGACTGTTTGCTGGAGTAGCTAGAACTGTTATCCTCATAGTTATTCTGTGGGAAGATAGGTGATCTATTAACTGTAAACTCTGGACAGATAAATGTATTAATAAATGCTCATCCATTCAAAAGATTTTAAACTTTCTTATTCACTAAAAAAAATGCAAAGTGGTGTAGTATTTCCATCTATTTTAAATATCAAATGCTTGAAATCCAGCAGGTAACTCATCATTTATTGCGGGGCAAAGTTAATTACTCTCTTATTAAAAGTTACAAGTAAATACCAGAAATGAAAAAGTGGCTGAATTACAGTCCACAGAAAAGCTTAATGTTTATTATTCATATTGGCACTCCCACACAATACTAGCTTTTTTATTTACAATCATTCCAGGTTTTATACTCATGCTTATGCCACATAAGTAAATAAAAGGCATCACTTAAAAATTATGAATGTAACACTCTGTGTAAAAATTAGCTGGTGTCATTTGCAAACTGGTGTCATTTTCTTGTAGCCTTTCAGTCTGCTTATGAAAACTTTGAAATAAGGAGAAGCTCACTCAAAATTTTGCCAGTGTCTCAATCAAAACTTTATGCCTAAGTCCTGTTGGCAGTTTTATTAATCATCAAAAGCTGCAAAGCAAGCTGAAAGTTTTCCAAGTTCTGCTAACCATTGGTGAAACACTGTGATTTTATTGAGGGCTGGGAATATAATGCTTATTCAACTCATTCAGCCCAAAAAACCCAGAGATCAGCAGTTGAGTTTACCACAGTCATCTCACATATATGTTTTTCCAAGTCCATGTTTCTTATAATAATTTTTATTTTGGGATTATTTCCAAATTGATTTTGAAAATCATACATCTGTAAGTGCATGCTTGAAACATATTAAGTGGAAGAAGAGTAATACAATAAGAAATTGAGATGATTCAGATATCCTGTAACAATTCTTTCCTTTCACCCTTTCATTAATTCCTATCTAAACAATAATTAGGTGGTAAAGTTCTGTTAGACTGTGGAATCTGATAGGGAATCATAGAATTATAGGATCATTAAGGATGGAAAACCTCCAAGATCACCAATTCCAACCTTAGATCAATCACCACCTTGTAAACCAGACCACAGCGCTAAGTGCCACATCTCATGGTTTCTTGAATACCTCCAGGGAATTTGGTTTCACTGCCTCTGAGAACAGTAAATTCGAATGCCTAGCCACCCTTTCTGTGAAGAAATTCTTCTTGATGTCCAGCCTGAACCTCCTCCTGGCACAGTTTGAGGGCATTTCCCTTTTTCTGTCACTTGTTGTCTGAGAGAAGAGACCAACCCCCACCTGGCTGTGCCCTCCTGTCATTGGAGAGCAATAAGGTCTTCCCTGAGCCTCCTTTTTTCCAGGCTGAACACCCCCAGCTCCCTCAGCTGCTCCTACTCAGTCTTGGCTCCAGACTCTTCTCCAGCTCCACTACCCTTCTTTGGACATTCTCCAGCCCCTCAATGACTTTCTTTAAGTGAGGGGTCCAGAACTGGACATAGGACTTGAGGTGCCTCGCCAGTGCTCAGTACAGGGGGAAATCACTAGATCACTCTATTTATATATATATATGAAGCCTTAGATGATTTCCATGTGACCCTACACAGTAAGTCAGCAAGGAGCTGAAAACTTGTTGGACAATCTATGACTGTTGTGTGATGAGTGGGAAATTGGAAGTGGGTCGCTTGTGGTTCTCTGGCAGTGCACAGACAGCTCTAACACCTGCTTCTTGTCTTTGCATTCCTTCTCATAGCCTTAAAGTACTTTTTCTCCTGCTTCCTCATCATCCTTTTAGACCTTTAAGTTGAAAAGTTGATGTGTTTACTGTTAATCCTGATGCTGATGAGATGCCAGGTGAGAAAGAAAGAAAACTTGTAAACTGTTTCTTATGGCTAATAGTCTTGGCTTGTTGCCACCTAACCCTGTTAATGAACAGCAGCAAAGAAATCCCTGGGGATAAGCTGTGAAGGATAGAAAGAAATATCTGGCAGTGCAAAACTAATACAAACAATTTTAACTCTTGTCTTTATTCCAAAGCTGTTATTTATTTATTACTCAATTTGTCTCTTACAAAGCATTAAAGATTTTAAGTCTCAGAAAAGCCTGCATTACTAGACATAAAATAAGGATATAAACTTTGTGGTTAGAACTCTGCCTCAGTATCCCACAGCATCAAGAGCCATTTATTCAAAATTTGTGTTATCTAGTCTAGGTTTGACATTCCCGAGTCTTTTTTGTGTTGCCTTAAATTATTTCTGAATTAATTCTAAGTTATTTTGATTATTCATCTTTTTATGATGTCACTGATTTATTGTTCTTTTTTTTCAAGGATTGTATGTAGACAGCTTTTTGAATCTGTCATTGAAATGTAGCTCTTATTTGCAAATAATTGCCTCAAGGCAATTTTTTTTCTCCAAAGCTTACCAGGCTTTCCCCTCCTTTTCTGCAGGGCCACCTTCTGCTCCAAGGAATGTGGTTTTTAACATCAACGAGACAGCTCTGATGCTGGAGTGGAGCCCCCCGAGTGACACGGGCGGGAGGAAGGACCTCACCTACAGCGTGGTGTGCAAGAAGTGCGGCTCAGACGCCAGCCAGTGTGAGATCTGCGGCGGCGGCATCCGCTTCATCCCCCGGCACACGGGGCTCACCAACTCCTCCGTGACCGTGCTTGACTTCGTGTCTCATGTCAACTACACCTTCGAGATCGAGGCCACCAATGGTGTCTCGGAGCTCAGCTTCTCCCCCAAGCAGTTCACAGCCATCACGGTCACCACAGACCAAGACGGTAAGTGCCCGTCTGTCGCCGTGCCCCTGCCACCCGGGCACTCGCTGCGAGGATCCCGTGTTTCTTGGGAGCTGGGTTAGGGGGTTTTTCTTGGAAGCCAGTGGTTAGGGGGCATTGCAGACTGCTGAATGTTAAGTGCTTTCCGTGAGGACTTTCAGCTTCTGCTGATGAGGGAATGCATCATCATTAAATGCTTTTGGCAGGTAGCCCTTGACCCCGTTACACAGGGCCCAAACCCATACCTTTCTGTTTAAAATTAAGTGCAGGCTTTAGCCATCGGAGACCAGCTGTGTCAGTGGCTCATCAGGGCTAGAGTCGGTCTGGTGCTTTTGCAACTGCAGTTTTGCAAGAGTAAAACACCACAGGTTATCCATTACAACTCCAAAATTGGAATTGGAAGGCAGAGGGAAAGTGAACTCTCTTTCTTTGGTATCTGTGTTTCATAGCACTAATACAACCTGCCTCACTGTAATATTCTTCTGCATCTGTATGAACCATTTCCTCAGGCAAGCTATCCTAATAGATTCTTTTTTATTCCTTTAATTGTAAACTTTGAATTATTGTTTTGAGCTTTTTCTTGCCCCCATTTCAGTTTGAATTCATGTCCAAGGTGAATCTCTGTGAGGAACATGGGGAAATAAAAGAGCTCTCTATTTTTTGTTTATTTCTGCAACTTTTTCTTCTTTAGAAATACTGTGCCAGGAAACAGCATCATAGATTAGCAACAATGCAATCCATATAGTACTGCTCTCTTTTGGCTTGTGTAACTGTAGACATGAAGGTTATTTCAGAATTATCCCTTGCTGACATTTGTTCCAGAAATGTTTTTCACCTGCTGTGCAGTGACATTGCAACTGCAGCTGAAGTGTTTAATGTAGAACAGGAACTGAGCTGGCAGAACTGCTGTTTGCAGTAGAACACATTTGATGATATGTTTCTGCAAAGTAAAAGTGCTAATGTTCAGGAGCATCCTGTTATGTTCCACTTGTAGGGAAGGCCCTGGGTTCTTTCACTCATCAGCCTAGCAAAAATCTGCTTACCTGTGTATCTGGGACAAGTAGTTTTGTCAATGAGTAAGTAATGACTCATTTGCCTTTGGGCATACAAAAATGAACAGCTTGCTGTGATGATGATGATAATAATGACAGTGATGGTAATACTAATAATATTCATGAAAATTGATTTGAAAAGGCACAAAACCCACTTGCTCACTGTCCATGATGGTAACAGAAGAGCTAATGATATAAGATGCCTAATGATATATAGGCCTTGCACTGAAGACTTGCCTGAAGCACTGAGGCACTGTATCATGTTGGAAACCTGCATCTCCCTTTTCCTTTCTCACTAACGGGAGAAAGTGAGGTGCCAGAAACTTCCCATGTGGAAACTTCCTTTTGGATCTTTTGCTCCATGGTATTAAATGCAGTCACCAAGCTCACCCAGGTGGAGGTCACGTGAAGTACAGTTCATTTTTAAAGTGGACAATAGCTGTGTGAACACAGCTTGTGATGTGTATTTAAGTGGTGGGCTTTTAAAAAATAATGTCTTTTGTTGATGTCTGTCCCTGGTTTAAGGATATAGATTTTCTCTGCGGTTTACTCAAAACAGGGAAAAGACCAATGCTTTGATAGTTTTTGACAGTGACAGTAAACTCTAGACTGTTTGCATTCCCTTTAATAAGTCTTACATTACTAAAAATGCTATTGGAAAGGCGTCAGAGGATTTAAGACCAGATTTTCAGAATATCTGTCAGTTTATCTGGATATAAAAAGACAGCTTTGCGGGAGAAAGTACTGTAATAAATGAAATGGAGTCGTATATAAAATGTAGTTATAAATAGAAAAACATCTCTGTAGGCTTACAGACTGTGTAGTTGTATAAAACGATAAGCATGGTGATTATATAGTTAAAAGGACAAGGAAAAATGCAAATTATGTATGAAATGTTGAAGAAACTTCACAGAGTTTTTGTTGATGGAAAGTATGGAGAGAAAAATGGACATCTTTTTGAGTTACTTTTAGTCATAAATATGAAAGGATATAGAAAAAGCTAGGTTATCCAACTTCAGAAAAGTAAGCTGTAGAACTAAAGCTTTGGAATATTGCAGAGATTTTGTTATAAACTCACAGTTGGCAGTCTTTCCTTATAAATTCTTATGAAATGGGTAGTAGCTACTGCATGATGCTGCAGGTTTGTGCACATATTCACAGAAAACAAAGATCCAAGTTTAAGCATGTGACATGACAACAAAAATATATTCATTTTTACAAGGACCGCTTTTCCAGAAGTCCAAAAATATTGGTTTAAATCCATTTTTTTTGCATTTGATATGTGTCTAATGTGAAAGACACAGGTGTACAATAAATTATATCCACACAACATATTTATCCCATGTTGATACTACCTTTTTATATGCAGTCTTTTCCTACATACTGTTTTAATGGTTTTGGTATGCACATTGCATGAAGTGCAAGACCTCCTTATAAATACAGTAATTGTTTTATTCAGTTGTCGTATCTTTGTTAAGAATACACACCAAAATCTTCTGCTGTTGTAAGTCCAAGCCATTCTGTTAGCGACAATCATTTAGAGTAGGTTTTTGCGGTTTTTTTAATTTTATTTGAGCATATTTGATTTACTTCCCTCTAGTGGCCTTTTCTTTTGACTGGTTTATGTGAAATTAACAGATTCATCATTAAACATGCAAAATTATTAGCTTGTTCTTCAGGGGGTTTTCTTTTCTCTATTTTTGGAGAACAATATTGCTGAATAAAGTAATTTAGTGAAGAGTTCTGTGGGCATCCACAGAAACTGAAGAATCCTATTCTGCCACATTAGTGAAGAGAGTAGTCTGAGAGCATCAAAGAGGAGGAATATTTGCTGACAAGAGAAGTGAACTAATTCAAAAGTGATTAAAGCTGATTTTTATGCACAGAGCCCTACCACAACTAATATTAAAATCTTAACTGCCTCCTCATGCAGTCACAAGTATCAACAAGATTGAGTGCAGTACTCAGCTTTAACAGTGACAAGAAGCAGACTGAAGGAAAGTAACACTTTAAAAAGGCTTTGCAAACTGCATCCCTCAAACCTCTCTGTAATTTGATGTCTAAAGCATTACCAGACCCAATCAAATACTAAAAAAAAAAATTACTAACATTAATATGAGTAAGTCTTGTAAAATTCGCTTGGTAATATTGATTACCTTTTCCTTTCATTTTATACAAGGACTCGTAAGTTTGACATCCATAGGCTTGGTTTTTAACCCTTGGCTTTATTAGGAAACAAAATTTCTGTGGTCACGTTGTCTGTCAGGCACCACAAAGAAATATGAACCCATTAGCCAACATGAGTTTGGTAACAGCAAAAAAGCTTCAACCAAATTGTGAAGAATGACCCTTCAGTCACCAAACCCCTGGTTAGGTCTGCAAGTTGAAAAGGAAAGTTCAGCTATGTGAGGATTGCTTTCTGTTTTACACCAGCTGACTGAGCACTCAGTCTGCCTATTGACTGGCTAGCCAAGAAAATTTCTCTATTTATGGTCCTGAGCAGCCACAGCATGTGCCGTGTCTTGTCCAGCCAGTGTGGCAAACAAGGATAGGGCAGGGTGGGTTAGGAAGTACAGATGTTTCAGATGGAGAGATGAAGGAAGTGATCTGTATGCGATCCTTGAGTAGCTTTGTTTCAAAGTGTTTTGAAATACCAGAATAAATCCCCACTTTAAACTCAGATAAATGGACAGATAAACAGGATTCTGCTCAAAAAAGCACTTAAGCAAAGTTCATGCTCAAGAAGGAGCATTAGTACATGTTAAAGCACTTTCCCAAATCACTGCTAAAGTGATTTGTAAACAACTGAAAGATAAAACATGTTTTCACAAAAAGCCTCATCAAAAAATGTTTAACAATGCTATTGTTCAGAAAAGTGCCTGGATGCCTTTTCTTTATGAGAGGAAGTTTTATACAGCAGTAAATATGCTGAGTACAAAGTAATTGTGCTCAATCAATTTTACATCATTGTGTGAAGAAGCAGAGAATTATATGCTGAATTGTGATTTATGTTTCCCTTATGACTAATGGAAGGAAGAGACATCTCAATATACAACTTTCTTAGCATGCCATAGTGTCTGCATTGCCTAAAGAAAATTCAAAAGTACTTGAGGTTTTTCATGCATAATTAAAGTAGTAAATCATGAATAATTACGCAAAACAGAACTTAGACCAGTAGTTGCTATTTCCAAATAACAGTCCATGTATGCTTTCACTCACTGTGCATTCATACATTCTATTCCTTTAGAACAGAGGGAGTTTTAACTTTTTTTAACTTTACAAGGAGTGGCAGTATGAGACATATCCCAAGTGGTGGAAAGTTTACACTGGAGAAATTCCCTTTCTGCCACTGCATCCTGGAAAGTCTTCTCCTTGCTCCGTTCTGCAGTTTGTGGGTGACTCTGGCTCTGACATCAGACCTGCTACCAGCTGGTAGAATCTGAGGCACAAGAAGCTTCACTCTGAGGGCACACACCCTACCACTGTATTAAACATTGTCTCATTTTCTGTATCTGTCTAGTTTTGACAACTGAGAGTTTCAGTCAGACCCCAAAAGTGCAAATTTATCAGGGTTCTGTTGTATAGTACATCTTACTTTATGTGAGCCATTGGCAGATACATCCTAGGTGATGTTTCCTAATCTGATGGTAAAATCTTGCCAGTGTTTGGAAGTGTTTAATCTAATTCCTTTTTCTAACTAAGTTAAGGTCTATTTCTAGTACAGGTGGCTCCTCAGACATGTTTATAGTTCAGTGGAGACAGTCTGTAGGAAGAGGAACCTCTTATCACTCATTGCTGTGGGAATTGATAAATACCTGGAAGGATTTCGGTGTCTCTTCCAGGAATAAACACAACTATATCACCTTGAATTAAAGGCATGAAGCATTGTAAGCACTGCAGAGATGATGTAAGTGGTTAAGAGCCTCATCTAGCTGACATGCTGTGTCTCAG